CACACACACACGCGCGCATACTCACGGCTGAGGGGAACCCGTCCGCTGCTGCTCGCGCTGCGCTGTCTCTCTCTCCGCCACACTGCGTCCTGAACGCGCACGCATGCGTCACACCGGACCGGAAGCGTGCGTGCGCGCACACGGGCCTGCGGTCAAAGCCAGTCCTGGGACGCGACGCACGCGCTGCAACTCTACACGGATTTTCTACACTGCGTTTAGTCTGATGAATACAGGAGCCTAGCAGAAGCAAATATAATAATGTACAATAATGTATATTTGAAATATGCCAATAGCACAGTTATTACATTATTATAGTTAACTGAAATAAAACTAAAACCATAAAAACATGTTCGCTACTTGAAATAAAATAAACTTTTCCTGAAATAAAATATATACAAACTTAAACTATTTTCAGATAGTTGCCAAGGCAACATTTTTTAATTTTAATTCAATGTGTTACTAAAATATCTCAAACTGAAATAAATAATAATAAAAACGACACAGACACATACAAATCTAATAAAAAAACACAATATTATTTAAACTTTAACTAAAAGTAAAACAGAATATTTAGAAATAGTAGAAGACTACATTTATTTTCATTTTAATATTTAGACACTAAAAACTCAAATCTGAACAATATCATATCTGCCAGAACAATAATAAAGAAGGACATAAAAAAATGCAAATGTCTCATTTTTTAATATTAAAAACATAAAAGTTCACACCAAATTTGGCTTGACTTCTTAATTTTAAAACACTTTTCAGGAAGAATATAGACTGGTAAATGATGTCGTTGCGGTTTATAAAACTAAATGAAATACAATAAAACAACAGTTTCTTTAGGGATTCTTTATTTATTTATTTATGCACTTATCCATTTGATTTAAAAAAAACAAGCCTTCACGTTCAGCAGCGACTGTAAAGAACAAATCACACACAATTACACACCGCTGCACAAAGTGCTTCTTCTGAAAGACAAGTGAACTGAGATCAGCAATGACAACTCTTTATTTAGAAAACAGCACCAATAAGAGCAGCCCTAGCTCACGACGGAACACACGCATAATCAACACATTTAAGAGCCTGTTATATATATATATATATATATATCTGTGATTGGGTGAATATGAGCAGCTGAATAAACTCTGTGTGTGTCAGAGCCGAGATCATTAATCAGCCACTGACGCTTTAGATATTACATTACATCAAAACTAACAACATACAGCTCTGTAAATATTTAGATGTAAAATATAGCCACTTTATTCATCACCATAAACACAAACACTAACATCAGTATGTGCACGAGAGAGTTAAAGCAAGACATTAGCTGATAATGTGTTCATCTGAGATCAGGATGAGTTTGTTTCTTCGTCAGGTTTGGAGAAATGTGTCACTGCATCAGTGTCTCACTGCAAGTGGATGGGTGCCGTCAGAACGAGAGCTGATAAAAACATCACAAGTAACCCACAGCACTCCAGTCCATCAGTTAACATCTGGAGAAGACAAAAGCTGAGACAAATCCAGCATTAAGACGTTTTTAACTAAAATACATTGAGTCCATAATCCATATAAGTCTATAAGTGCATCTGCTGTTGTCTCTCGCATCAAAATCCAGCCACATGTGTGTGTAGCGCTGTTTAAACGCTGCTTGATCTGTGCAGCTGTCTCTCCTGATTCACACCAGAACACTGACTCACTGGAGGAAGAGTTATTATGGATTATAGACTCTATGTATTTTAGTTAAAAGCGTCTTAATGCTGGATGTGTTTCAGCTTTTGTCTTCTCCAGATGGTAACTGATGGACTGGAGTGCTGTGGATTATTGTGATGTTTTTATCAGCTCTCGTTCTGACGGCACCCATTCACTTGCAGTGAGACACTGCTGCATTTCTCCAAACCTGACGCAGAAACACACTCCTCGTGATCTGGGATGAACACATTATCAGCTAATGCTCATCTAAATGAGGGCAGGAGGATCTGTGACGTGATTCTCAGCACAAGAGTTCCCGTGTTTCCTGAAGCAGGAGGGAAAACACACTTGGTTTTGCTTTACACGGACGGTTATTCTAGATTCAACATTTATACTTGAATTATGCAGTCACTTTTAATACTGTTAGCTCATAACGGGTTTCCTCCTCATTACTCACGAACTATAAACAGTGATCTGGAGAACAACGACCAACACGATAAAATGAAAATGATCTCATCATATACTCTCCCTCGTGTCATTTAAAACCTGCATGAGTGTTTTTCTGCTGAAGAATGTCAGGAACCGAACAGCTGACGGCACCCATTGACTTCCATAGTATCCCAGCTAACAGGAAACATTCTGAGAACGTTCTCTCCAGTAACGCTTGTTCACTGATCTGCTTTTTAATAATGCTCTCAGAACGTTAGCAAAAAGCCTTATTTATACATTGTTAATGGAATGTTTTAGTTGGGCGTTTGTCTAATGTTTTCTGAATGTTACTACTTGCTTCAGAGAACATTCAACAGTAACATTCCCATAATGTTTGAAATATTATAGAGTGAAACGTTACCCTAACGTTTTCTTTAACATTGACATAACCAAGAAAGAAAATGTTTTTAAATATTTTAAAAAACGAAACGCTCAGAGAACATTCAGTTATGTTTTCATAACGTTCCTGGGACATATTTTTGTTCGCTTAAAACACTATGGAAGTCAACGAAACTTTTTGTTTTGTTTAGTTTCACAAAAGCAGGAAATACGAGTATATAATGGTTTTAGGTGGTTTTATCGTAATGCGGCACAGTTTGAGTTCAGCTGAATTGGCACTTTGTATGCGACGCTGACTGCGATTCGATCCAGTTCTTCGTTTACGGCGATATTTAATCGTTTCAATCACACGTGTAGGAGGACATGAAGCGGTTGCCGTGGAGACGGTTCTGTGGTTTCCACGGTTACCAGATGCCACTGGAACGTCCACCAGGTGGAGCCAGAATTCTGGCCGAGGATCTCTTAGGAATGTGATCGTCCACTTGAGCTCCTGTAAAAAACGCAATCCCACAATCCTCAGCACACGACTGAATCTAGTGCGGTCAAACGATTAATCCCGATTAATCACATCCAACATAAAAGTTTTTGTCTACATGATATATGTGTGTGTACGGTGTTTATTTACAAACCCGATTCCAAAAAAGTTGGGACACTGTACAAATTGTGAATAAAACAGAATGCAATGATGTGGAAGTTTCAAATTTCAATATTTTATTCAGAATACAACATAGATGACATATCAAATGTTTAAACTGAGAAAATGTATCATTTTAAGGGTAAATACACACACATTCAGTATATAGTTTGAAAATATTTACATGCATATACATTTATATATTATTATATTATATATAAATATATTTAATATATAAACATAACATATGTTTCTTAAATATACATGCATGTGTGTGTATTTATATAAATATACACAACACACACTCATATATTGAGTAAACAAAACTTTTATTTTGATTAATCGTTTGAGCAGATGTTTTCTGTTTTTACTGCATCTGAACAGACACAGAAAAACACAGATTTTGTTTTAAAAAAAAAAAGAAGAAGCTTATTTTGCTTATTTTGTACAGGTCTCTGATCTTAAATGGAGTATTTTAAAAATGTTCCACTCCTTTGCAGATTGTTAAATAATACATGCATATATTGCATTAAAAGTACATTAAAGCTGACACACACACACACATAAATAAATATATATATATATATACAGTATAGTTGAGGAAAAATCCTATTTTATATTTAAATATATGAAAATATATATTTTTTTATATCTTTTTATTTGTAAAATATTTCTTAATTTTTATTTAAATATTGTAATATATAAAAAAAGAAAAATCTTCAACCAAATGCCAAATGTATCAACCAAATGCATCTTATACGAGATAAATAATATATACACGATATATATAAACCGGCTGAAATTATCTGAAATCACTTGTACCCCACCTGATCAAAAAAATCCAGTCTCTCACTCTGTCTGTGTCAGTTTGAGTCTTGTTAAAGTTTTAAATCCCTGCCAAGATGCTCCTCTGTCGGTCACGGATTATAGAAAGTGAAACTTAAAACTATAGGGTGGTTGGATTTATTCACGCACTTTAAAATATTTATTTAAAGCTTCTTTCTTTTCAGATTCTTATTTACAGCATTATCTTAATAGGCTGTATATTAACTTATTGGAAGAAAACCGGTAGTTCTATGTGAAATCAGACATTTGAGCACCCCCACATAGCCAAAATGGCATGATCATAACACCTCTGCGAATATTCGACTGTGAGACTGGTATCGAATCAGGCTCCTCCTATCGAAGCATCGAATCTTTGACTATTTGGGGTCACCCCTATTACATACTATTAAAAAAAATCTTATTTTGCAAAAAAACTGTGCGTGATGTAAAGTTTTTATTGTTATTTTTTAACTCGTCATCAAATGATCTAATTTTAGGTGTTTGTTGTAAATCTGCAATGCTGATGCAAACATGTATCTGCAATGTTAATCTCAGACACGCACCTGACAGGCTGAAGCTGGACTCGTGCAGGTCTCGTACGCCCGCGTGTCGCGTGGATGCCCGCATGGGAACATCGCCCTCCGGAGTGGCGGATTCCTTCCTGATAGAGTTGTTTACGGCGGCGATGTCGCCCGAATACGGCGCTCGATCCACGGCGCGCAGCCTCTGAGTCTGTGGATCACGACAGCGCTAGCATCATCATGACCAGTGCTGGGGAAAGTTACTTTTAGAAATAATGCATTACAATATTGCGTTACTCCCTAAAAAAGTAATCTGATTACGTAACTTGTGTTACTTGTAATGTGTTACATTTTTAATGCTTTATGTTACTTGTTACTTAAGAAAGTAATCTGATTACATAACTAGAATTAGTTGTAATGTGTTACATTTTTAATGCTTTACGTTACTTGTTACCTAAAAAGTAATCTGATTACGTAACTAGCATTACTTTACTAGTTACTGGGAAAAAGTAATCTGATTACGTAAATAGCGATACTTGTAATGTGTTACACCCCCAACACGGATTCATAACACTGTGAAAGCGATTCATATACAGACAGCGGCACCTTCTCTCTCTGGACCATCTTCTTGTAGAGGAAATCCGGGAAGGATCGCATGGGGTAGAACCTCCCGGAGCCCTGAGCGCAGGTGAACACGCCGCTCTCACACACCAGACGACCACGGCTGATGGTCACCAGCGGGACGCCGCGACAGCGCTGGCCCTCGTACAGGTTAAAGTCTCCGCCCTGAACCTGAGAGCTCGCCGAGATCGTCCTGCAGCGGCAGACAGGTACGAGAGAGAGTCACGGTTATTACAGTCAACTGAACCTTCTCTTTGCTCGAAATAAAATACAATAAAAAAACTTAATAAAAATACATTAAAAAATGTAATAAAAAGTATATACACATAAAAAAATTAATAAACAAAAATAACGACAAAAAACACTAAATTTTAACTTTAAATAAATTTAATTAAAAACAGAAAATATAAAAATAAAAATAAAAATGTTTATAAAGTTGTCTTTATTTATTAAATATATAATCTCATTCAAAAGTTTGGGGTCAGTCAGTATGATTTTTTAAAAATAAATTAATACTTTTTTTCATTAAGGATGCATTAAATTGATGAAAAGTGACATTTATAATGTTACAAAAGATTTCTATTTCTAATAAATGCTGTTCTTTTGAACTTTCTACTCATCTGTGAATCCTGAAAAATAAAATGTATGATGGTTTTCACAAAAATATTGTGCAGCACGACTGTGTTCAACATTGATAATAATCAGAAATGTTTCTCGAGCAGCAGATCAGCATATTATACTGATTTCTGAAGATCATGTGACACTGAAGACTGGAGGAATGATGCTGAAAATACAGCTGCGCATCACAGAAATACATTACATAACAGAGATTCACAGAGAAAACAGCTGGTTTACATTGTAACAATATTTTATGCTCAAATAAATGCAGCCTTGGTGAGCAGAAGAGACTTCTTTTTAAAACATTAAAAAACTTACTGAACTCAAACTATTGAATGCTATATTTTTAACATTAATATGATAAAATATTAAAAATATATTTTAATATTTTAAAATTAATTTTATAGTGTTTCTGTGGCAGATCTCTATTTTCTCATTTTCTCAAGTAGCAACTGCTAAAATTAATACATAAAAAATTATATTATAAATAATAATGTTTCAATGTATAAATATCTCAGTATGCACTATACTGTAATATATATATATATATATATATATATATATATATATATATATATTTTTT